TCCAGTCGTTGTTGAGCCCTCGGTATACAACCCCTTGCCTGTGTACTCCGGCGTTCCTATATCCGAAATATTGGTCAGTCCGACGAAACTAATATCACGCTCGGCGCCAATATCATTGCGGCCCACGATCACGGGTATCCCAGCGGTACCGATGACAACAAGCACGGTTTATGTTACGCAGATCAGCACTGTGACCTCTTGTGGCCAAACCAAAGTGAACTGCAGCCCAGGTCAAGTTGTTACTAACACGGTATCAACCTACACAACTGTTTACCCTGTAACGCCAACGCCTATCCAACCCCCTGGCTATACCACCTCAACGGTACAGACGGAGATCACGTACACCATCACAGCTTGTCCTTCCACAGTCAAGAACTGTCCAATAGGCCACGTGACTACTGACACAATTGACGTGTATACGACGGTTTGCCCAGTGAGCCCTATCAAGTCAGGCCACCCTGAGCCGCCCGTCCCAGCGAACACCTGTGAGAATATTGGTGTACTTGTGACGATTGTCGTGGATGTTACCGTCGAAGTCAATGTCTTGAATGACAAGACTGAAACGAAGTTCCAGACCAAGACATTCACGAAGGATTCGAACAGTCTTTGCAATCAACCAACATCTGGTCAACGTAAGCACTATGCATTCCCGTTTCGTTAAGCTCTCACTGACCAGAACAGCCTGTTACGCCTGCCATATCACATCCGCTGGCTACCCATTGCCCAGCTCGGACGTTACAGTAACGAGGGTATGATCCACGTCCTGGTTTGATTCTGGCTTGATCTAACTAACACCTCATAGACATTGGTCCGAAGCTGTGCTGATGGCGCACCAACCCCTCCGACATCGCTCGTCTTCCAGCCATGCTCGAAATGCTCTCCTACCACCATGAGCAACATTGTTCCGACCGTATCGCCTCCGAAGGCACCAGCTGGACCTCAGCCTGAAGGCCATGAAAGCTACCCCGTTGGAGATAACGTACCCACTCCGCCTCAAAGCCATGGAAGCGACAAACCAGTGGGAGGTGACGTGCATACTCCACCTGAAGACCACGGAAGCAACAACCCGGTGCCCAATCACCCTGAAGGCTATGGAAGCAATAAACCAGCAGGAGGCAACGTACACACTCCGCCTCAAGGCTATGATAGCGA